CCCTAGCCCAGGCATTGCGCCGCAGCCAATCCGTCGTAAGGTGCGACAGCGCACACTGTTGACTCGCTTGCTCCTCCAGAATATGCGCACACATGGTATAATGACAACGGGGGGTGGCTATTGCTCTACATATGCTTTTTGCACTGATTCGAGAGGGGTGGGGAGAGGAAAAGCAGAAGAAGAAGAGGGGGTGGTGGTGTGGGCAGCTAACCGTCACTAAACTCCCCCTTCAACTGCATCTCGCAGACACGGTCGGAGATCTCTTCCAAGGACTGGCTATGGTCCCCACTGATCTCCTTCCACGACAAGCTATGGTCCCCGGAATCAGTTCGTCATTCCAGGTGTCTTTCATGCATGATCCACGCACGGGCGTATAAAATAGTAAGAAGTAAGTAAATCCCTACACGTCATAAGTAATAAGTATAATAGAATAAGAACGCTAAAGTATGTTTGTTCGTTCAGACGTTGCCATCGAACATCTCCGTCGTCGAGTCGAGAACCACGCTGAGAGAGTTGTCGTGTAGCATCAAAGCATCCTCCAATCCCCGTCGGACGTCGGTCATGGAAGGCCTCCTGTCCCGATTATCGTTCACACAAGCAAGCGCCACGTCAGTTACCTTGTATAGAGATGACGTGCCGTAGGAGTCCATCAGCCGCGGGTCGACGATCCTCTCCACCTCCCCTGCAATTAGATAAGGAAGCGCCCATTCCACAAGACTACCGCACTGAGGCGGAAGAGTCCACGGCGCGTCATTGCCTCCGCCGCCTCCGCCTCCGCCTAGGTGGTCTCGTCCCCCGCCGCCCCGCGTCATCCTCCCCGCCGATATGCCAGTAACTCCGCCCGCCGGGTCTTGTTCCCCGTTCGGCGCACCCGCACCCCCCTCCCCACCTTCTCCTCCTCCTCCCATCGCTCTTCTTTGAAACCCTCCGACAGGCGAAGACGCCACAGGCGGCCGCGCCGTCACCAACTCCAACAACACAACCCCAAAACTGTACACGTCGGACTTCTCTGTCAGCTGCCTCGTCGTGCAATACTGCGGATCCATGTACCCGAAACTTCCCTTCACGCCTGTGCTGACGTGCGTGTTCTCGGGATCTTCCAGACATCGCGCTATCCCGAAGTCTGCCACTTTGGCAACGTAGTCATCGTCCAACAGAATGTTCGTCGACTTTACGTCTCTATGAATGACCACCTTCTGTGCTCCAATATGTAGGTATTCCAATCCCCGCGCGGCGCCGACGGCAATTTCCAGGCGTTTGCGCCAGAGAAGAGGCGCCCGCTCTTCCCCTCCCACCAGCGCACTCTGCTCCTCCCCTCCTCCTCCTCCACTCTTCGGGAGAATGTGACTTCTCAGTGTGCCCTTCGACATGAATTCGTAGACGAGCACCATCTCCCCATCGTCGTCGCAATAGCCGAGAAGAGAGACTAAGTGGCGATGGCGTACGCTTGACAGAGTCGACAGCTCGTTCAGAAACTCCTTCACCCCTTGCCCGGATCTTCTCGCTCCCCTCTTCACCGCCACAACCATCTCTCTTCTTCCTCCTCCTCCTCCTCCTCCTATCGCTCCACTGTCCCAGTCGCACACAAACACTCCTTTGTACACGTTGCCAAAGCCGCCTTTTCCGATGAGCAGGCCCTCTTCGAAATCGTTGGTGTACTGCCGTACCTCTGCCATCGAGAAGCGATGGCCGTATCCGTCCCGACTCACAAGTTTACCTGAGACATCCGGGCGAATGCTGCTTCTCCCGCCCGTTCCTTCCGCGCCCCGCCGAGTCGGGGTGCTTTCATTTTCCGCGCACGCCCCCCCGAGCGCGCGGAACAACCAATTCGCGAGGATGGCGGAGGGGCCTTTGCCCGCGCCGGGCCATCGCGATCCATCGGGGGAGAAGAGGTAGTACTCTCTCTTGAGAATCCGACGTCTCACGACCACGCAGCAGCAGACCAGGGCCATCAGGAGCAAAACCCCCCCGCCCACGCAGCCCGATATCAAGGCGATGAGTATCCTTCCCCGCCAAAACCCGTTTTCCCCACACAGCGGAAGATCCCATCGATTCCGAGCATCGCTCGGGGCGCACAAATCGTTCCCCTTCTTCCCCCCCGCCGCCTCCCCCTCGCGCCCATTCGCTGCCGCTTTCCAGGTGAACTCCTTGAGAGCGACGCTGTCGAGTAACGATGCAGGCACCTCCCCGGCGAGAGAGTTGCCCTCCACTGCCAGCGTCTTCAAGGCCGACAGGTTCGCGAACGACGAGGGAATCTCACCGGTGAAGGACTGCCCGCTTAGGATCAGCCGCTGCAGAGTAGAGAGCATGCCAACACGAGGGGGTATGTGACCGGAAAGCCGGGAGAATGCAGAAAGATCGATGTCGATAACTGACTCTCTGTCGTCCGCGCAACTCACCCCAGCCCAATCGCAGTAAGAAGTGGAATTAGTCCATGCCGAAAGCACTGCCGCATTGCTGTTGTCGTTGGCTGTCTGTCCGTCCTCTGAAACATTCGTGGCGGCGGCGAAATCGAGGAGTATCTCGGAGACGACAGCGCGAGGGAGGAGGAGGGTTGATGGCCCAGATGAAGGGGGGAGGCCGCTGACGGTGGTACATATCACAATCCCGTCCTGCGCAAAGGCGTCGTGGCCGGAATCGGACAAATCCGACACTCCGACTTTTAAAACCTCAAGCCCATTTATCACCGGGGAACCCGACGAGGCATCTATAGCAACGGTCATTTCTGCCACACCTACGGGCATCGCGACGAAAACGTCGACGACCATGGCCTCGAAGTTCGGTCGGGATGATGACAGTATGTCAACGCCTTCCCTGCACAGTATCCCCTCTACCTTCAGATTCATAACCCGGTCCCCGGCCTTGATTCCAGGCATGATCTCCGCGAAATGGAACCGCACGAGGTACGTGGCGCTCCCTCCTCCTGCAGAACTACTCCCTCCTCCGGAAAGCCGCGACGAGGAGGAGGAGGAGGAGGAGGAGGAAACAATCAATTGGTACATCAAAGACGTGGCATCCTTGTCAAGGATCCGCCATGATTGGTAAACTGCTTCTGGTGCGTACACGCCCTCGGGAAGACCGATCGAGTGCAGGGTAGTTTCATTGCGCGTACGCGCCGGCGGTTTGGGATCCCCCTCCCACATCCGCGAGAAATTGTCGCTCTTGGGATCGACTTCTCGTCCTCCGCAGTTCCACCGTCTCAACGTCGACATCACGTACCTCTTCGGCGTCAGGTTGCCATACAGATCACAAGGGATTGCCACCAGTTCAATCGCGTTCACGAACGCGTAATACCCGCTGGTTATCGGTTGCACCGCCAAATTTCCGCCCCCTGTCGCGCCCCCCGCCCCCCCGCCGCCGCCCGTCGACGCCGGCGAGTCTTCCGGCTCGAAGGTCACTACCATGTTCGCGCTCCCAACGGAGTCTCCGACAGAAGGCGATGGCGATGGCGATGCTAAGGATGCCGATGAAGACGACGCCGAGGAGAACTCCTCCGCTCCTCCGTCCTCGCACAAGATCGAGAACTCCTTGACAATTGCCTTCGCCGTCGGGTTTAACCCGTCGTCGTTCGTGAACGATGCTTCTTCTTCTTTACCTGGGCACCACTGACTCAGCAAAATCACCTTGCCCACGCGGACGCTGAACGAGCAATTGGCGCCATTCGCTCCCCCCGCCACCTCCGCAGCGAAGCGAAGACGTAGGAAATATCGGACACCTGGGTAGCATTTCAAGTAATAAGCCCCCTTCTTCATGAAGACGCGAACGGTAGAGTACACCGACGACGACGCCTTGCCATCCTCGCCGATGTGAGAGTCCGTTGAGTTGGGTGAATGGAAACTGGAATCGTCGGTCTCGTTGATTGGGTCGGCGAGCCATCGCCTGTCCATGATGTCGACTATCTCTCTTCGACTTCCGCAGTTGATTCTGTACGGCGGAGGGAGATCCCGTACGGTGCAACCGCCCTCCGCCAACAACATCGTCACCGGCATCATCACGATGACAGCAGCAAACGTTACAGTCAACAAGGAGAAATGCATGAGAGAACCATCGCACCAACTCACCAAGCGCCTTTTTTTAGTAATTACGGAAGGTCTCCTCACAAGCACGACATCCCGTTTCCTTCGACCGCGCCGTCGTCCTGTCCCCGCTGTCATCGTCAAAGCGAAGCCTTCACTGCTCGTTCCTCCGCCCTGAACACCCGCCAACCCCATCCTCCTCTGCCCCGCTCTTTTTCTTCCTCGTTCCTTCCCAGGATGCCACGGATGACCTCACGGCTGTGAATTGCCTCCCCACTCCTGCCCCAACCGTCTCTCTCTCTCTCTCTCTCTCTCTCTCTCTCTCTCTCTCTCTCTCGGCTGTGAATTGCCTCCCCACTCCTGCCCCAACCGTCTCTCTCTCTCTCTCTCTCTCTCCTTCCCAGGATGCCAAGGATGACCTCACGGCTTTGAATTGCCTCCCCACTGCTGCCCCAACCGCCTCTCTCTCTCTCTCTCTCTCTCTCTCTCTCTCTCTCTCTCTCTCTCTCTCTCNTCTCTCTCTCTCTCTCTATCTATCTCTCTTCCTCGTTCCTTCCCAGGATGCCAAGGATGACCTCACGGCTTTGAATTGCCTCCCCACTGCTGCCCCAACCGTCCCTCTCTCTCTCTCTCTCTCTCTCTCTCTCTCTCTCCCTCCCAGGATGCCAAGGATGACCTCACGGCTTTGAATTGCCTCCCCACTGCTGCCCCAACCGTCTCTCTCTCTCTCTCTCTCTCTCTCTCTCTCTCTCTCTCTCTCTCTCTCCACCCACCCGGCCCCCCCAAACGGGATTCGGAATCCAATTTGTATCTCCCAAGTCGACGTGAAGACAAATCTACGTCTGGCTGGCAACGTACTCATCCGCCGACCGTAGAAAAGCCCCACTTTCCTGCAGAGACTCCTCTCCTCCTTTTCCTGATTGCTGATGAGAGGCCTCTAGCGATCAACCTACCTCTCTTCCATAGCCCCCACGATATACAGTTATCGCCTTCCCGACACGTGGCTAATTCGACTCACTTTCACCCCGGCCCACGTAGCCTTATGGTTGGGTGTTTGCCTGCCGAGCAGTGAGTTGTGCGCTCGAGTCCTGCATTTGTCATGCATGCGCATGCATGGCTAAGGCCACATACGTTCTGTTCGAGTCCTGTACGTGTCATGCATGCGCATGCATAGCAAAGGCCACGTACGTTGTGTGTTCGAATCCCGGCCGCGTGAGGTCAGTTTAGTTGCCGTGCCAGATAACATCCCTGTCCGTTATCAGACCTGAGGGCATACTCCATTTCTCGATTTTAACGGATGTCATCCTTGCGCAGAGGCCATGCTAATCTTCTTCCTCTGTGTCGTTCCAATTTTAACGGATGTCCCGAAGGACAGACCTGAGGGCATACTCAGGGCCTCGGCACACCAATGTCGAAACATCACGAAATTCGACATATGTCAGGAGATCTTCGACATTCCCTCTTTCGACATAAAACCCCTCTTCGCCACACCGCATGTCCAAGTGAAGAACTCACGAGTCGTATGCACAAAAGAGACGAACTGGGGTGAAGATAGACAAGCGTTGGTGCGTTCTCTTTTTCGACATTCGGGCAAGAATTCGACATCCCATCCGAGGACTGTTGAAAATGTGCGAGTTGCAGGCTGGGAAACGAGCCCTTCTCGACATGAGGTGTCGAAACCCTTTCCCTGACAGCTCCTGAATTTTTTCTGCATCTCGGATTTCGACATGCTGTGTGGCGAAGAGAAAATGTCGAAAATGCAGTTTTCGACATTGGTGTGGCGAGGCCCTGAATCTTCCGCTAGAATATGGAAAGATACGCGGCCCTATTTTTTGTCTTTTGTGCATGTGCAGACTAATGCAGCGAGGGCATACTCACACGCACGTATAATCGCTAAGCCAATTTGCCATTCTACGTCACCGCCAGCTCACAAACCTCTCCCGCCGTATGTAGCAGTACAAACCAGACAAGACACGACCGGCAACCCACATAGAGGGAGTTCTGCGGTTGGCCCCAACTTCTTCGGCTCGAGGCCTCATCTTTGCAGTTACAAGACTCAACAACTCGGAGGCGGTTTCTTCTTTTCTTTTTTCCTATTTTATCTATCTATTTTTTGCTACAGTTGATCATCGTAATCTACGGCCAGGCTATTTCGGATCCTACTGTTTTCTCTTCAGATACCAGAATCTATGGTGAGATCTTTTCCGCGCTGAGAATCTACGTTGCCTACAAGAGGGACTTACCCGGCGGGAAGGAGTCCCTCGGTGGCCCGTCCTTCGTTGCCTCCAGTTGCCGCGAGAGTATATGTAACTGGAGTAGGACCGGTCGCAGCAGGCGGAGTCAATTCGCGCTGGCTGCTTTCCGGATTTCTTCCGCCAACCGCTGCACCCATTGCGTATGTAAACCTGCACGTCACGACAAGTCAAGACAGCCAGTCACTCGGAGGACAGGTCGTTTTCATCGCCTACTCTGGCGAAGTGGCCTGCACCCACCTACCAGCATTCTTTGGCTGAATACTTGCACGCTGCACTTTTCTAGCGTCCCGCCCAGGATCCCAGCAGCAACCCCTTTTTCGTTTCACACCTGAACTGGTTTCGCGACAGGCCTCGTCCTCCAGTCAGTCCTCGCACCAGTATATTACCGGTAAGTGATCCCAAACATCTTCACCATGAACGGCGAAGGCGCATCCGGTAGTCTGCCGCTCTGCGCCCTGGCTGCGTCTCCACAGCGTTTGCCATCCTCCTCCACTTCTCCCCCGCCACGCCGCTCTTCTTCCTCCCCTATTCCCTCCCATTCCTCCCCTTCATCCTCCAGGCCGGAATCTCTCTCTTCCTCTTATCATTCACCCCCGCCCGAGCAACCACCTCTTTTCGATCCCTTCCTAAAACACCACTACCCAGCGTACCTCATGTTGCAATCATCATCGCCCTCCCAATCAGATACCCTCCTTCAATTCTTCTCCTCCCTTATCGATTTCCCCTCTCCTCGCCCCTCACCCCCAACTGCAACTGATCCTGTCTTAGAACGCATCTTCGTCATTGACCCTCCCACCACGTCGCTTCTACCTCTTCACCTCTTCGCTCTACCTCTACTAACCCAACCTTCCTTCACCAGCCTCCAGCAAACGAGAGTCCTATCAAAGTACGGATCACTCCTAAACGCAGAAGACATTCAACGATTCTGCATCGACGCAGCAAAATTCAGATTCCAGCATGGAGACAAATCCTTCTGCATCATCAAGCGCAAGTGTGTCGTCGAGCTACTCTCCTACTCGCTCTTCTCCACGATTCTCTTCAAACTCGTGTTCATAGATTCCAGGCCACTTTTCACGCTCTCACCAAGGGAGATACTCAGAGCGCGCTTGGACCTGGCGGAATTCCAGCAGACTTGTGCGACTAACATTGCAGCCAATTTCTATTGCTTTGGCATGTGCGTAGCCCGCATGTGCGATCGATCTGTGTCATCGTGGGTGAAGAAGGGACTCTTCGTTTTGACAGACAATCTTCCTGGGATTGCGTCGTCGCCATTTCTTGTTTTTCCGATCGCTGCGCATTTCAAGGATTTCTTCACTACTCTAGGAAAAGCAGCAATCAAGTCTCTCCATATCGAAGAACTTGCAGATTGGGGGCCCGGCCCCTGGTTCCGATTCATCAGGAAGGAAGCTTTTAGCATCCTTCCTACTTACGTTCATCATCCGATACTTTCCCTGGATCCCTCCCCTCCCTTTACCCCGGATTACCCTCGCTTCTTCTTCCTCTCTTCCAAGGGTAGAAGAAAGTATGTTAGTTTCAGAGTTAGTGTTCCTCGGAATGCCGAGGAAGGCAGCCAAGCCGCAGTCGCTGCCCAAGAAGAGGAAGTCGGGCAGGACTGAACCAGAGGATTCTTCCTCCGACACCCCCTCCCCCCCTCAAACCCTTCCTCTCCAACCCCTTTTCCTTGTAACAAAATCACCCTCCACTAGCTCACAACCCCCCCCCCTTCAAACCACCATACCCCCGCCCCCCAAAACCCCAAGGCAAAGACGCAAATCAAGCGTCTGTAGAAATCTAGATCTAGTAATCTTTGCAGCTCTCTTCCTCCTCTTTCTTCTCCATCTCTTCACCATCTTTCTTCTTCTTCCCAAATCTCCTCGCCATTCTTGTCTCCCTTAATCCGACGCTGTCTTTTTTCTTCTTTTCAATTTTTTATTTTAACTGGTATTCTGCTTAGGCAGACTCTTGTGTTAATTGGCCAATCACTCTTGACTCCGAACCAATCATCTTTAAGGTATTCTTCTGACTTGTTGCCAATTGCAAAAAAAAAAAAAAAAAAAAGGGGGGGGAAGGGATAAAGAGCAAAAAAGAAAGGATCCAGCTATGGATCTTGGCAAAGATTTTCTTCTCCTTCGCATCCTTGTCCCTTCCTCTCCTTCAAAGTAATCCAATCAAAAGACATCAACCTACTTTTTTGCAATCACAACATACGTCTCAAGCAATACTTCATCAATATACTTTTGTTTGCTTCTCCTTGCTTATAATCTTCTTCGGACTTCCCTATCGAAAGGAAAACCTTCAGAGCGTCTCATTGACAAGATTTTTTCAGCACCAACCGCGGATCTTCAGATCGGCGCTACGCTAAATAACCTATCAATGAGATCTGAGCATCCCTCGCCCAACTTTTTGACCTACCTTTCATCTCGAAGGTACTTAGAATAGAATCTCTGCGAATGCATCTACCTAGAATACCGTCAGATCATTTCATCGACAGGACCTTTCAACACCGGCCGACATTCTTCAAATCGACACTATGCTAAATAACCTATCAATGAAATTTCCTAGTACCCCTTTCCTCAACTTTTGTGAGTTAAAAAAAAAAAAAAAAAGAGGAGACTCTGTGGATGCAGCTACCTTAAACATTGTCATCAATCAAAGTGATACAAGTATGCAGTCAGCCTTCCAAAAAAAAAAAAAAAAAAAAAGGGGATGGCATAACGATGTGTTTTTTCCTATGAGTAATTCTGCACCTATCCCATCACCCCTCTTATGACTTCATTCCATCACCAAATACTATGATCTGTATGCTTGCAACACAACTCGCACAAATAGCGTGTATCGTGTGTGGATGTGTGTGTTAGGGGAAGGGAAGAGGGTGGCAAGGCAAAAGGATGAGTGTGCACGCGTATGAGTGCATACGTA